AATTACGTATAATGTTATACCTACGTATCTTAGACTTCAATCAGGTTCGAGCGTGACGGCTGCGATAATGAAATTCTGCCACACGGYGCGATGGCTACGTCAAGGTCAATAAGGGCTACTTATTTAGTGATGGGTGCGGTTGGGTTTGAAATAGGGGTGGCCGCAAGGATGTAATTCCGGCTATTATTTTTAATATTATAATATTGTTATTGTCGTTCACTCGCGTCCGCTCAGGAAATTTACATTTTTTCCGCTGATCACCCGACACTGCACCCCCAGTCACTGTAACTATTATAATATATTATACTAAGCGTATATTATATATTATACCGTGGTATCGTTATCGATGAAAATTATCGTAAAATAATAATTATTCGACAACGTTATATAGGTACGTGATTTTTTAAATACTATAGATATACTTCTTTATGCGCATATATGTTTATAAAGTATCTTTAATAACATGTTGGAACTTGGGATACCGTAAACAGCGTGCGAGCGCGTGAAATAATCGACGAATATGTTGCGTGCGTACATTGATCATCRCGTCTTTCATTTCCATCGCTGTTTATACAAGGTGTAGCAGATAGAACTGACTTTAGGGCTAACTTTTTTCACATTAATATTATTTATTTATTTTTTGTTCATTAAGTGAACCTAGCGGCTAGCACTACATGTATAAAATAGCCTATTTGTGAATTTGATTATAAAAACAATTTTGATGGTAAAAAGATTTATCTAAGTCAAGTAGTTTATTTTTTAGAATTTTTTTGGTTAAATTAATTTGRAGTGCAATAACTTTWAAAAAAATATKATTTTTGAGAATTTTCTGACATGAGTACCTATATTTCTTAAATTATTTATTTATCATATACTATTAAACAATTTTATCATACGATGAATTGGCATAGGTTTTTTTTTCTGTCAGGTCTTTCTGTTATACCCTGTACTCGTATTATCATTCGCAWATTTGCTGCATAATATGGAAAATGTCTAAATTGCAGACACCTCACACCCTGTTTCTGTGCTGATAATATCATTCTCCGAAATAAACTTGCGTACGAWAAGTTTTCGGCCCCCGCTATCGTTGTGTTTCGTGTGAAACTGCTATTATTACGTCGGGTGGGGATAAACGCGGCATGTGGTCGGTTGAGAACGGCGCGGCGGATAGTGCTGCGCTCAGTCTTTGCCCCGGCGCATGGTCGTTTTTCATTTCTTTCTTTTTTTCTTTTTTCCTTCCTTTCATTCGTTGTCGTCGTAATCACGCACAGTCCATAGAGGTCCGTGCACTACCACTGGCTGCTATACGACAATTCATATATTCATATATTTTATCATAATATACACGACTGCAAACGCGTTTTATAATATAACATATTTATACAAATATTACACCAGCAACTATACCATGGTACCGTTGAACCAGACACGATCGTCTGCCGTTAGACGTCGCAATCGGATCCGAGGACCTTCGCTGTTGTTGGTGGCCTATGCGTGCGTCTGTATCTATGGTAGCCAAGTCCGTTCTCAGAGAGCCGGCGGTGGTAACCGGGATGCACCGGTGGTCAACATCCCCAGGCAGGGCGCCGTTTCCGGTGTTGAGGTGCAGCTTAACAAGATCGGAAACCGGGCTTGGATGTATCTGGGCATACCTTTCGCCAAGCCACCCATTGGCAACCTGCGRTTCGCGCCGCCTGATGTCGATCCTCCGCCCACGTGGAGCGGCGTCCTCGTTGGGTCTGCACACAAACCAGCATGCATCCCGGACCCGCCCGTCCGGTCACATCCTGTCCATCGATTATTCTCAACCGTCACTCCAGGTCCAGTCAAAATTTCCGAGGACTGCTTGTACTTGAACATCTATAGACCGGAAGGTAACGAGTTAGTTAGTCACGTAGTCCCCTTAGAGAAACTTTTTTACCAAAATCGTACCATACCATTTTCGGACGATTCTCATTTCACAAAACAAAAATGCTTA